GAAATGAAAGTTCATAGGAAATATGCGATTAAAGGAATTTTTTTGCAAAAATCTACTTGGTCTTATAAAAGATATCACCTCGACCACGAGTTCTGATTCCTTTCACTGGCCTGTGTGCACTTGAAATAGGAAGACTGGATTAGTATGCGCGCTAAACTAGACCCCATTGATGTAATTCAAAAGACTACATTTGCCATTAGCGACTGTTGGATCAGGGTAAAGCCCAAACCAGGGTATGCGGTTACGTGTGGCAGCTTTGATTGATATTTCAATAACACATGTAATTGTGTCCATTGCACACATACGAGGACGTTCTGTGCAACAGCAGTTATAGGGAGTATCAGTTTGGGGTGGCTCTTCATTTCTCATGAAAGCCCAGCACTGAATGAGGGGGTGGAATAGCTTCTTAGTAAATTGACTTTATGTGCTTCCTTTCCATCCTTTCTGGTTCCATCATGTTGCCTCTGGGCCCTGAGAGGAGTCCCGTGGCTTCCTCCCCAGCTGAGGTCAATGCCGTTGTGTGGCTCAGTGGATGGGAAGCACCGTAAGAATAGGGCAGCCATCCCCTTCCCTCAGAGACTAAACACATCCCCTCTGCAGCATGCCCAGCCTTGAGCCTGGAAATAAATCTCCACTTGACGTCTTAATTTGTACAAAGTGATCAGCTGTCAGGCAAGCTGGGACCATCTAAGAGGTTATGGGTTTAAATAACCCATACAAAAATTAAACAAGTGATGGGGAGGCGGGGGGAAATAGCTCAGGATGTATAATACCTTGCATAACGTAAAGCTCAGGCAGAGAAGAAAACTTAAAATTTAAGTCATAATCCATTGTGACTCTCAATTTGTGCCAACAGATTTATGGCACCAGAGTCTTCGACGTCACATCGCTGTGTGTTACCATCTGCCATTTCAGTATTTTTCCAAAACTCCATAGGAAAGGCAGCGTGCAATTACTGGAAATGGTGAATAGCTTCTGCATTATATTTTCTTTTTGGAAAGCACATTCAATTGGAAAGGAACAGCCCCTGGCCTAAAATGCAATCAGTCAACAAGACAGTCCTCATCAGAGCATTTGAAGCCCGTAGTGTCGGTAGGGCCGTCTGTTTGGAAAGGCAGGGATGCAGCTCGTTCGCTTCTGCAGTTTGGGCTTCACACGTTTCCTTTTCACTAGGTCTGCAGGGGAACATCTGGTGGAACGTATTAGGAAGCAGGACTAGCACAAGAAATCACTGCCCCATAAGAACAATTGGTCTTTCGGATGTAGCAAAGGAGTGTGTTCTCCCTTAGGCCTTACTCCCCTTCAGATTACTTTAACAGGAGGTAAAGGCTATTTCTACAGTGCACGCGCTTACCAATATGCTCTTATCTTTGCCAGACTAAAACAAGAGAGAAACTCGGGCGTTCAGTGTAAGCTCTTATTCCCATTTATGGTTTGACATGCATTTTCAGGAAGATTATTTATTTGGCTAGAAACTCTTAGGTTAGATTGTTTTGGACTGCTGAAAAGCCTGAGGTTTCTCACAGGAAATGTCAGGCTGGGCACTTTCCACATCCTTAAAAATAAATAAATGGACTAAGAGTTGAAGGTCAGAAACTGAAGGAGCAGCACCTTTGTTTAAGACAAGCAAAAAGACAGAGCATCTGAACCGAAACGGGTCACCTGACTGTTCAAATTTGGAAATCCCATTTTTATTTGGCCCCATGCCTTATTGAGAGTCATTGCCGTCTTGACGATGCCTTTGCTTATTGTAAATCTGTCCACCTCTCTTAGGTCAGGAAATCACACAACAGTGCTTGAGTATACAATCCTGCCAGTACATAGACACCTGCCACGTGTGATACCGTGTTGTTTAAGAATTCCTGTGGAACGGGAATTCTTGGGCGTTTTTACACGTACTCCAGGGGGGTTAATTAGAGCGGCTCCGAGAGCTGCTGTAATTAAAGCACCCAGAGTATCTCATGTATCAGCATCCCCATGCTTCCAAAAATACTGTAATTACAACACGTTGGAGTAACCTCCCGGTTTGCATACAAGCACCCCACATTTAAAGTAAAATGTGTAGCTGTAGCACATCATCATACTTAGTCATTCCATATATACTGGGTGTGGCGGAGCACCTTTGGGGTGCTCGCCACGTGGCAGGGGCTGCAGTAGGCTGGGGCAGAGCCCAGCAGGGAAGGCAGCCAAGTGAAGCCCCCCCAGATCGCATTTTAAGGGGGGGAGGTCTGTGGGCGAGCACCTTTGGGGTAGGCTTGCAGAGCCCAGCAGAAGTGAAGCCCCCCTCCCCAGATCTCATTTTAAGGTGGGGAGGTATGTGGCAGAGCACCTTTGGGGGTGCTCGCCACTTGAAGGCTCTCACAGGCTCCCAGGGGAGCCTGCTTTGGAGAAGCAGCAGGGGTACCATTTTAAGGGGGAAGGTGTGTGGTTGATGCATGAAAGAGACCCTGCGAGAGAGGGTGGAGTGTGAGAGGCCCTAGTGAGTGGAGGGCGGTATGAATGTGCGTGTGTCTGAGGCCTAAGCTTGGTCCAGCTGTAGGCTGGGAGCACTGTGTCATCTGGATGCCATCTGTGAGGCATGGGCTGCGGTGTAGGGGAGGTACGGAGCTGCAGATAGTGTCCCCTGGCATCGGGGCACGAATGGGCAGCCTCCCACCTTAATTAACATCTTAATTAATTAAGAACATGGCATGGCAGGTGAGTCAGGTGGGGAAAGGCAAGTGGGGAAACTAGCACTGTGGCTAGGCAGGGAGCCCCACTTTGCCACACTGGGGTCATTACAAATTAGGTACTAATTGGAAATCACAGGGTAAGTGAATCCAGCTTACCCAGGGCATCTGTAAAACAACCTGTCATGATCATTTTCCCCTTCTCCAGCATTTGTCTCATCTGTCAACTTTACCAGCAATGATTTTGCTTTCCTATAGAGCCATCGTAAAGATATTGAATTCACTGGGCCACAAACAGGTCTCTGTGTGAGCCCACTAAGAATGAATAATGAAACCTTGTTTGCAGTGATTTTTTTGAGATTCGTCAATTAGCCATCCTTTCGTGTGTTTACTGCATGCAACATTCATTCTGTATAGGGCTAATGTTGTAATGAGAATTTTGCTCAGATTTTGGACAGGAAGGGATCAGGGTATTAACAGAACCTGGTATCTATTGTTTTCTCTTTTTTAAGACCCTCACATTTTAAAGTGATGAGCATGTTGTAAGACCTTACAAAGAAGGGTTTAAGACCAGGGATTGGAGCTCAGGATATCTCGATTTAGATCTTCTCTTTGGCGCAGTTTGGCTGTGAAACCAGTTGGGCAAGTCACTTAAACTTCCTTTGCCTCTATTTGTCTCTGCACAATAGTGGGGACACAACCAATCCATGCCTCTTGATAATATTGTGAGATTTAATTGGCTTGTGTTTGTGACATGCTCACGTACTGCAATGGCAGGGAAAGCTCGTAAGACCTAGAAAGAGAGAGAAGTGTCGATGATTTGTGGATACAAGGTAGGCTTCTTCTAGGGTTGGACCCTTCCCTTCCAGTCTAGACTGCCACGGGGAGAATTTAGCAGTCTTCTTCTCTGTAACATGTCCCGTCTCTTTGGTGTGGTTCAACTGGAGACTAAACCTGGGATCCTCCATGTAGCAAAGTGCAATGCAATACAAATGAAGATAAGCGGGTTTTCTCATGACTCACATGCTCTTTTGAGTGTAAACACTGCTGCCTTAGGCATTTGCAATTACTTCCTAATAAAAGTATAATAAATGAATTGTCTTCTATGTCCACACTGAATATTAGCATTCTCAGATTTCAGAACCGCTGTTTTATTTGTTATCAAATTAACCCCAAAGAGACTGACCTTGAAGGAAAAGAAGTTTTTATTTCAGAAAAAGGAATAATCATTTCCATTTTCTGACCAAACAAAAATGCAAATGGTGAATTTGGGTTAGGGTTGTTTAGTGACTTCAGTGTTCAAGTGAAAACCAAATTCCTGTCCACCGGACCAGCTGGAAAGTTGTTAGAAAGTAACAGGAAAAATATATAATTCCTAGAAGAATGAAGAAATTCAATCTTAGAAAGATTCATTATTTTCCAAATGCAATTTATTTGTGTTTTAACATACACAATAATAAATTGTGGTGTCATGTGCCAGTATAAATCAAAGCCTTTTATACATCACTATGCATATTTGCTCTCAACCATCATACTGAGGTCTTGGGACATTAGTTTTCCCATATTTTGACTCACCAGTACTTAGTAAGTGATTTATTTGCATTCTAAAATGTCGGTGTGTCATGACTATCTGTGTTCGGCCAAATTTTGTTGAAGTTCTTAATGCTTTTGGGGAGAAAAATGGAACTGTAGTTCGTGCCTTTTTATTATAGAAAGCTCTCAGTGAGAAGGATGCCAAAAAGTTTTCAGACTGAAAAAAGTCTGGAAGTGTTGTCGTGTATGTATGTACGCATGCATACTGCTTTCATTCATCTCCTTTCACAGAGTGAAAAAGGAAATTAAGGTAATGGAAAGTATGCGATATAACAGCGATTGTTGCTATAATAATATCAGGCATACGAAGAATGTCACTGAGGAAATTATTCCATACTGGTTTTGAAAGAATTGTGATTTGCAACCCATTTTTTCCAAAGCAATCAAATTGAAGAAAAACGATGCAGTATTTTTTTTTTTTTAATAATTTTAACGTTGGCAGCAGCAGTAGCCCCTCAATACAAGAATTACAGATTAACAGAGGTCATTTGGATTTGTTTCCCTAATACTGAATTCATTTTGATGTGAAATCAATGGGAATAGCAAACCAAACACACCTCTGAAAATCTGATGACATATTTAGGTGCCAAACTTTGTAGCTCCGTTTGAAATATTTAGTCATTATTATCAAAAAAAGTGTAAATACATATACCTACTGCAGATGGACTCCTGTGCATCTATTGCTCTTTCATGTAAAGTAAACCTTTGTAACTTGTTCTCTCATTTATTTTACTCTAGAAAGGCTCCAACATCCATTTCCAATAAAGGCGACCTGATGAAAGATGCCTTAGAACTAGGTATGTTCATCAGACTTTGCTTTTGTGGTTTCCTTCCATACCAATCGCAGCAACTATAATGCAATGCAAAATGCTGCTCCCACTCTTTTTCTTCTTGGTAAACACTCATCAGTTGATTCTGGATATTAAGAGTTGCTTGTTAATTCCTTATATAAACTTGTATAACTTGCACCCCCCTTGAGGCCATTTTAATCACCGCTATTAAGGTCAGGATGGCTCTTTAGTTATATAAGTTAATGGTTCATAGAAGTTTTGGATGAACCATTAGCAGCGGCTGGCACGGGGATACGAATTGGCAGACCTGTGTTCACCAGCCGTGTTTTGCCCATTACAAGCTGTCTTCTCTTTCAGTTGATGTCGAGGATGAAGCAGCAGTTGGGGAAGTTAGGAAGATCCCAGACCATTCGACACTCTGTACGCTTCAAGTAGATTCAAAGGCAATGGATATTTCCCTTGCAAAAGTAAGACAAAGTTATACCAGTAAGAACAAAGTGATGCGTTAAAGTATGTTATTTCTATTAAGTAAGCCAAAGCTACAATAGATTCTGCTTTTGTTGTTTTTTAGGTTTTTTTAGATTTAGTACATGTGAAAGTCTTAGGCTACTTATTCCTAATAGCCATAAAATTGCATTTTTAGACACTCCTTTGTTAAGGATTTCACTTTATTTGCATCTTTGACAGGGTGCTTAGTGGTAGAATATGCAGGAAGGGACACAGGGTTTCTGATATGTTTGGCCACTGACATTTGGAAAGTCATTTTTGCTCCAGCCTCAATGTTAATGTATTTCTCAAATGGGACTATTTGTATATATACCTTTGCAGAATTATATTGGAAGAATTCATTAAGCAATTACATTTTTAGCATGTTTTCAGGTCCTTGAATGAAATGAATAGAAGGGATGCAAGATATTATGATGTCGTAGGGTATGTTTAGGTCTATGAAAGCTTGCAAAGGGATAAGAATTTCTTTTTTCACGTGGCACTTTGGGCCTAATCAAGTGCTCATTGAAGTCAGTGGAAAAACTCCCAAGTCTGTCACTTCAATTTGAGTTCAGTCAGGCCCTTTGTGTAAATTGGTACTGTGTGTCTCTGGCAAAGGAGAAGATATATACTTCCTCATTAACACTCTTAGATTACGGCTAGTTATAAATGAAGTGGTTTGGAGTTAATAAGAGACTTTCTGTACCTTCACCTTTGTCTCTTACTGAAACAAATATAGTTGTCTACCTATCCTCCAAGCCAAATATTTCTAGAAATCCAGAGTAACTTGATTCACTTTATTTCCCCCCTGTCATTTTTCTAATGATACTTTTTTCCTTTCTTATTTGGGGAATATGTACCATAATTAATTGATTCATAAATGTTAGGGTCTGGAAGGGATCCCTTGAGATCATCGGGTCCAGCTCCCCTGCGCTTGGGTAGGAAGGACTGCTGGGTTCAGATGACCCCAGCGAGGTGCACGTCCAGACGTTTTTTGAAGATATCCAGAGTAGGTGATTGTACCACCCCGGGGGGCATCTATTCCAGACCCTGGACACTCGAGTGGTAAAGGAAGTTTTTCCTTATCAAAAATGTCTAATCAAAAGTGGTCTTCTAGTAATTTATGACTGTTAGTCGTAGTCTTCTCCCAGGTAGCTCCCAGTCCCTGATATGTGCCCCTTATATACTCATAGAGGGGACTTGATGGCACCCTATGTCTTCTCTTCTCCAGGCTGAACAGACCCTCTCAGCCTCTCATCATATGGCCTGCTCTCCATACCTCGAACCATACTCATAGCCCTCTTTTGGACTTCCCAGAGTTAAGAAGCAGCAAAAAATGTGGCAATATTTTCCACTCCAGTTTCTAGACCCAAGGCACCTGAAAACATGTAACACTGAGGAGGGGGATCTCGTTACTCTGTTTTACACTAGCGAGTTTCAGGCCTGAATTTGGTTGGGGAGTAACACCTGGATTTGATAGATGAATGTCTGTCCCAAGTCAAACCTTTGAATATCTTCTGCCTCAAACCACTGCCTTTGGCAGGCAGAACAGACTGTCAAGTCTACATGACATGCCCAGCAGGGTTATTTTCTGACATTTTATATTTTATACCATAATGTACATTACTGGGGGCATGAGAAAGTGGAGAATATTCAAAAGAAGGCCTGTCACACCTTGACATTCATCTGCTCGTAAGCAGCAGTAGGTGTATTACTCTTGTGGCTACATGTGAGCCAACAGTCAATAAATCTTTCAAGGAGATCTCTGTCTTAGATGAGCTACAGAAAAAAAAAATACTCCTAAAGGTGAGCAGCCCCTAGCATTATGTGTTGAAGGAACATTGCAGGGAAAGGAAAAAAATTATTCCTTCTCCGTTAAATAGCCCTGCTATTTACTGTATTTATAAAACAAAAAATTAAAAGGACGGTTATATAGAGTTAGTCATTATGCTGCCATACTCCTCCTCCTTGTTACAAATTACTGCAAAAAAAAAAAAAATATATATATATATATACACAACTACATTTCGGATTTCTTTTTAAAATGAGACTTTTTTTTTTCCCCTCCCTTTTTTTTTCAGGAAATAAAAAATCTTTTGTTTGGCTCAAGCCTTTGTTGCTTCAGTGAAGAATGGAAAATACAGAGTTTTACATTTAATAATATACCTCAGTTGAAATACGGCATTGTGCAAAAAAAGGTACAGTAAATGACTGCCTTAAAAAAGCTCAGTTATCTTTGCCTCTAACCAAAAATTTCCAGCAGTTGCATGTTATGATAATAAAAGAAGCTCGACTTTTTTTTGGTTGGTGAATGGGAGTTTACCACTGAGAGCTGTACCTTTGTAAATTGTGAGAGGAGGCATGATCTGAATAGATGGTTAAGAAAAACTGAGGCGTGGGGATTAACACCAGTGCAAGAGAATAGCTATTGAAACTAAAAGACAGTGTTGGGGCAAGACCAAATAGGCATACATTGGACAAAGTTTGTGTGGAAATTAGGAGGTTTCTGAAAGAGTGAAGTTCTGGATCAGCCTCCCAAGCAGAGTGGTGGGAAGAAAAACCCTTAAGTAGTTTAAGTCTGATAAGTTTATTAATGTGAATATATGTGAAGTGATTGCTAGTGATAGCAAAGACTGAACTTGATGACCCAAAAGGTCTTTCCCAGTCAAATGTTCCTAAGTGTTGGGGAATTTGCAGGTGACACCTATTCCTATAAGTCAATATGAAATCAAATGCATTAGGGAGGATGGCGCCAGCTTCTAGATGAGGTATACAACATCTGTGGATACTGAAGGTCCTATGCCATGTTTCCCAAAAGAAAGGTAAGTCCCAGTAGTCTACTTCAATTTGATCATTTGAAATAGCATCATAGGATCATAGAAAATTAGGCTTGGAAGGGACCTCAGGAGGTCATCTAGTCCAGGCCTGCCTAACTAGATCATCCCAGCCAAGGCTTTGTCTACTTGGGTGTTAAAAACCTCCAAGAATGGAGGCTCCACAACCTCTCTGGGAAGCTTTTTCCATGGCTTCGCTACCCTCCTAGTGAGAAAATTCTTCCTAATATCCAATCTAAACTTCCTTTGCTGCAACGTGAGCCCATTGCTCCTGGTTCTGCCATCTGCCACCACTGAGAACAGTCCAGCTCCATCCTCTTTCGAGCCCCCTTCGGGTAGTTGAAGGCTGCTATTAAATCCCCTCTCAGTCTTCTCTTCTCCAGGCTAAATAATCCCAGTTCCCTCGGCCTCTCCTCCATAAGTCATGCTGTCCAGCCCCCCAACCATTTCCATTGCCCTCCGCTGGACTCTCTCCAATTTGTCCACATCCTTTCCATAGTGGAGGGGGGCTACAATATTTATAATGACTACAGTATTTTTCCTAACTTTGTATTAGATAAGGGGGTTGTGTGGGCTTGCTCTGTAAGTTTAAACATTTTCCAAATTCCACCTCCACTATTAAATACCAGCTGAAACCTGCAAAACATTTGCGATGACATTTTTATTGCCAAAGCATTTCTTTAAATACAGGATTTTTAGTTATCCTCTGACCGAATACTTTAACGGAATCAAAACTTCCCACAATCAAAAAGGCTACATAAAGCTGTCCATGTGACCGCCGCATGGGAAGCACTGCCCCCGCCCCCTTGCAGGTCAGGGGCTGTGTGACCCGGCAGCATCTCACGCGGCCAGCTACAACGAGGGGAGGGAAAAAGTGTCGAGGCGCCTGATTTTTTTTTTCTTTTTTTTTTTTTCTCCCGCAGCTGGAAAGCGAGCTGCCAGCAGCTCACACAACCCCTGATCTATGGGGAACCTCTGTGCTTCTTTCCGTGGCAGCGGCAGCACCTGGCACACCGCCCCAGCAGTCCCAGAGGGTGCTGCCACCGCGGATAGGAGCACCAGGGCCCCCTGCAGCTCAAGGCCTGCGGGCAGCTTACCGGCCAGCCACGGGAGAGGTGGGCAGGCTATGTGGGGGTGGAAAGGACCAGGCCCCTCACCACTGTTTTTTTTCCCCTTTCTTCTTTTGGCAGAGCCTGCCTGCTCTGTGGCAGGTGGGGTTGGTGGTGGAGGGGTTAGGGGGGTGGAAGGGTGGCGCTGGTGCTTCATTGTAGCTCAGACTTGCTTGCATTTCTGTTTGAAATGCCTCGGGATCTTCTATAACAATACTTATTCTGTCAGTCCGGAGCACTCTAATTGGTTGTTTCAGTAAGCACTGTGATTGGCTGCCGAGGCAACCAATCAGAGTACTCCGGACAGACAGAGTAAGCCTATTATTATTACAGATTAGTGGTGCTAAGTAATATAAAAACAGTTCTGTAATTTCACCTAAACTTAATTTTGGGAGTTTTTTCAGACGGACTAAAATAGGCCTACTGTTTTTTTTTCACGCACACATTTTCTGTCTGTAGTTATTCATATGATTATTGAGGGGTGGTAGAAGTATTGTGTTTCTGTGCTGCAGGTATGTTCAGGATAAAATGCATGATTTATATGTTAGAGGCCTCATTTGGGGATTGTAGCCAACTGGGCTCGAGAGTGAATACATAGTGCCCTGCAAGTGCAGCTGATGAGATTTTGGCAATCAAAATTGCTTTTAGCTGGAAAATGGTGCCAATTTCAAACACCATTACAGGAAAATTAAAAGCTTCTCTCTCAAAATGTGACTGATTTACAGTGCAGGGTCTTTCTCAAGTACAAGAAGCTAGTTTCTTGTGTGTTGGTCTGCCTATATAAGAAAGTTAAGAGGTGACTGTAACATGTGGCAGCGTACCTGTTTTAGCTTAATCTAGTTTGCATGCCTAATGATAGCAGTGAAGATAGGCTTACATCAGCTTTAGCATATACAGTTTACCAAAGTGTAAACCCACCAGGGATCCTGGGGGTCCAGTCTGGATATTAGCATGTGCTAAAACCCATCCTGTTGCATTCTCACTGCTGTAGCGATTTGTGCTCGTTAGATTAAAATACTACAGATAGGCTAGTGTGTATTTTGCTATCTAGCCAGGCTATCTAGCCATGCTTAGTCTAGAGAAGTGGAGACTGGGAGGAGACTTAATAGCAGCCTTCAGCTGCCTGAAGGGGGTTCAAAAGAGGATGGAGCTGGACTGTGCTCAGTGGTGGCAGATGTCAGAACAAGGAGCAATGGGCTCAACTTGAGCAAAAGAAATTTAGGTTAGATATTAGGAAGAATTTTCTCACTAGGAGGGTAGTAAAGCACTGGAACAGGTTACCCAGGGAGGTGGTGGACTCTCCATCCTTGGAGGTTTTTAAAACCCGGCTAGACAAAGCCTTGACTGGGATGATCTAGGTGGGGCTGGTCCTGCTTTGAGCAAGGGTTGGACTAGATGTGACCTCCCGAGGTCCCTTCCAACCCTCACTTTCTATGATTCATACCCATATATCAGGGTAGGCTTCAAATATCTAAAAATGAATTTGCACCTGAAAACAGTACAGGCAGAAGGGCTCTTAATCTTCCTGTGACAGTGCTTAACAGAAGCACTGTTAGCATACAATGTCCTTCTTTCCCTCTAATTCACCCTGGGTGACATTTCCCCTCTGTACAGAGGTTTTCCGCGAGGTACCTGCACTACTGAAACTCTGGTTTGAAGGTGTAAGTAGGACTTAAATGGTGAATAAGCCTTGTCTGATGTGGCTACACAAGGTTTAGTTGCCCGTTAGATTGGACCTTACTTTGGACTTCAGGTTTGCTGCATGTTCAGTGGACTTTAGAAGAGGCTAGACTCTTTTCCTTGATATCCCAGCCATGCGTACAGTGTGATCTAGGTATTTTCAGAAAGAATACATGGGCCTGGCAACTCCACTTAGTAATGCTGAATTTTTCAGTTGTTTCAAAGAGGGCATAAGTGCTTCAAATCCCAGAATCCAAACAGATAAAGTATGGCTTAAATTTGAAGGAAAACACATCAGCTATGAGACGTTCTTGCCGGCATCAAACAGAACCAGTTGTTTTGTTCATGCAACGTTTTGTTCACTTTAGGGCGGCCCGTGTGGAGTACTGGCTGCCGTTCAAGCCTGTGTCCTACAAGAGCTTATCTTTGGAGACAGCGGCAGGAATAGCGAAGCTCGGTAAGCCAGACAGCTGACACCAGAAATATTTTCTGTTCTAAATGAAACCATCATTTTTTTTCTAGTGTGGTCAGAAAGAAGCTAGATCCTTTTGCATTTGTCTGTAAGTCTGGAAGAGAGAAAGGGTTAACAGATTTACTTGGGTTCGTGGAGGCTAATGAAAATTGCCTTTTAACAGAACAGGTTTAAAGGCTGGAAATTCATCAATACAGTCGTTTCTTGTGATTAACCAGGATCCTTTAAGAAAAATAAATAAAAAAGATTATTATGGCCAGCAGCCTGCTGAATCCTATGGAGAAAAACTTATTGTAAAGATAATGCAAACAAGAGTTGAAAGACCATACTGTTAATGGGCTTTTCAGAGTAAGAGAAAACCCCAACCAGTGCATGAAAAGTTGTGTCATACTAGTTTAGGCTTTTTTTTCCCCTTGGGTGGGATGCCCTTATTTAAGTCTCTAATGGGATTTAAATACTTTTTTTTTAAATTGCTTTAGAGAAAAATTATAGGATGTCCATTATAACACCAAAATTGTTGTGGACTGCTAAATATTAATAATTGCACTGTCCCCAGAATTGATGTCTTTGCTAAAGACACTGAGTTTATTCATTGACATAGGGGAATTTCTTTTGTATATAAAGATTTCTCCTGTACTAAGGTGTCCATAACCTCCACCATCACTTTTGCCTGGAAATAAAGTCCATTGCACATAGATCAGACAGCACTGTCCTGAAGCTCTGCTGCCCCTATACGTATTATTTGTTGAATAAAGAGAGCAGGCCCAGATTTATGCTAAAAACTTTTTCCATACTTGGGGGATGTAATCCTTGCCCCACTGAAGTCCATGGCAACACTTTCAGGGCTATTTCAACTTGGATGAGTAAGGGCAGGTGCAGATGAACCAGTTCATATGAGCCAAAAGGATGCATAAGTTTACTGAACATCAGCAGCCACATGGCAACAGCTTTATGAGCAAGCTCTTACCCCGTGATAGATGAAAGCCAAACTTTGGCTTTCATCTGCCAGAGAAGCTTCAGGACAAAGATGTTAAATATGTTTGCAATCAATCTAATTCCAAATGGATGGAATAAGCGGCAGACACTTTGTTGCAGGAAATGTTGTATGTACAAAAGAAATGTCCATGATTTTCAGCTACTAGAAAGTAAGGGTGCATACAGCCACCTACTTTGGAGCAGTGGATGCTCTCCTTTTTTCTTACAGTAGCTCATTCCATTGTTCATACCCTGAAATGCTCTAACATAAAAAGTCCGTGGTATAAAAGAGAAAGTAGCCACATATGTCCCATGGGTGTTAGAAGTTTCTTATTGAAACAGCCAGGAGCAAAAATTAAGCGCTCTCATAAAAAAGAGAAATATTCAATAATGCTAGAAGAGACATGACATGTATTGTCAGGAAATGGGGCTTCTTGATAGAAATGAGGGGGGTTTTGGCGGCTCTTTCTATTAAGTCGACTGTATAATTGGAAGATATGGGAGACACATTTCTGACACCAAGTGGTCTTCCTTAGGTCTGAGAAAGAAGCAGGTAAAGCCTATTCATAAGATGCTAACCAATATGTCTCTAGTATCTTAGTGCCATACAAAAACCTAATGCACAACCTAATGGAAAACCAGCTCTCCTGATCATACAGACTTCTCAGGCTAAAGGATCCCTGGTTTTAAATACAAGATTTGATGATTGGAAAAACAACCCATTAAATATTAGCCACACTTTACTGAAAAAGATTAATTTCTCATTGGCAGGGAGGATAAAAATGAAAAGTCATAAAACATCGAGACGGAGAGGAAGGATAAGGATGAAAAGTCATAAAACATCGAGACGGAGAGAACATTGAAATGGCTCTTAAAACCATCAGAGATAAGCTTTCTTATAGTACATGTCATATGAATGAGACAAGGCAGGCAGTAATGACTTTGGCACTTCCAGTTAGAAAACTGGTTAGAAAAACTCTGCCCTATCTCCAGGCTAAGCCCTGTCCCATGAACTGCACAAAAAGGGATCCTGCAAGAATTTAGAAAGTAGTTTATGAAGGACTGCCATATGCTTCTAGAGCAGCTATTAAAGCCCATCTGTTTTCCTGTTACTTGGCCTAGACCCTGAACATATAGATCCAGAAAATGCCAAGGGAATTTCAGTGAAGGGATCTCAAAGCTTTAAAGTAATGAAAGAGAAGGGTCAGATCTTGCAACAGATGCTCTGTGGATAATTTTCATCTGCCTTCTCTACCTTTCTTTTTCCTAGTAGTGCAATGAAGAGGGGGATGGCTGGGGCGCCAGGCCTGGTGGTGATCCTTGTGGGGGTGCAAAAATAGCATCAGTTGTACTGCTGGCCTGACCACCACCACTGTGAGCACAGCCATTGATTTTGCCCTATGCGGCTTCTCATTCAAGTGGCCAGTTATGACTCTACTTGTCTAGCTCCTCCAACTAGCTGACATTTAGAGCATACTTTTTTAGCCAGCAAATGCTGCTCCACAGTAATTTATGTCCAACACTGTGATTTAAATCTTATCTCCAATCTGGACAAATTGACTGAGCTAAGTAGGGACTCCCTCTGGTTCATCACCTTAGAGAATACAGCAATCATTTCTCAATGCAATGAGAAAGTGTTAGAGGAAAACTCTTTAAACATTATATATAGCCGACATGTGAGTCAACTTGGAAAACTGCTTATAGGTGCCTCCAAGGTTGGCTGAAGGACCAGGAGGAAATGCCTAATATAGTATTTGTATTCTGTATATGAGGACAGTATGTTTTTCAAGACAGATGCTGGCCTTTGCCCAAGTGGGTGGTAGTAGCGAAGCAGCTGTGCGAAGCAACTAGTATTCACTTTGGATTAAGATTCAGCTGATTCAGGGGACAGTGATTCTATTTGATGAGTCGAATCACTGTCCCGAATAGATTCAGCTGAATCTGATTCGGAGATTCGGCTGCTGCTGAATCTCCAAATAACACAGGCCCATCCCCCACCCGCTCTCGCAGCCCAGCAATGGCTGCCCTGCCTGCCCCAGCTCCTGGCACTTTGAAAAAAAAAAGCCTTTGACTCACCAGGTGTTGCCAGGTGGGGAGGTGATCCCCACTGCCCCCCACTGTCCCACACCATGAATGGCAGCTGGGGGGGCATTGCAGTGGCAGGAGTATGGTGGCAGTGGTGGGAGTGGTGGGAGCACAGCGGAAGTAAGTGGGGGATCTCTTGCAGATGCCACCAGCGTTGTCGGCGGCGGTGGGGAGAGGGCAGCAAATGCTGACCAACAGTCTACGGTCAGCCACAGCTACCACCAGCAGCAGCAGCCAGTGGGGATCATGGACCACCCACAGACGCCGCCACCGGTGTTGGCAGTGGGGTGGCAAGCAGCGACTGCCCGCAGACACTGCTGACAGTGTTGGCAGCTTTTTATAGGGGGTGCACTGCCACACTCGGGGGGGTGCACATGAACCCCCTACACATCGCCCCTGTCCCATGCTGCATAGGGGGCCCCACACATGCCACCCCCAACACTCCCCCCACACTGTCCCAGCCACCCCCATGGCTGCCCTGCCCTCCCCACCTCCGGCCCTTTAAGAAAAAAACAAAACACCAGACTCACCAGTTCATGCCCAGTGGGGGGCTATCCCTGTTGTCCCCCACTGCCCTGCACTACATGGGGGGCTCTTCTACAAACCTCCTGAAGCCCCAAGGCCGCTGCAGGAGGTGGTGAGTCTGGGGGGAGGTTGTTTTTTATTTTTTTCTTGAAGGGCTGAAGCTGGGGTGGGTGGGGCAGCCACGAGGGGACTGGGAGAGTAGGGGGGGGG